CCCTTTTTGTTTGTGCAGGCTGGTGCCAGTCACGAGTTGTTTAGCCAGCGAGCTAGCGAGCGGCGCCGGGGTCAAAAGTTGAGTGGAAATCCCCTGGTTTTTTGGGTCGATGTACTACCCAGGGGTTTTGATCAAAAACTGGGGTTTCACGTCATTTCTGGATTTTCCCATTTTTTCCCATTTTTCCCCACCAAAAATGTTTCGAGGGCTTTTTGGGTCGTATAGGTACCCAAGGGTTTTGAGCAAAAACCGGGCAAAAGGGGCGTGTGCTCCAGAACTCTCACTTCTCTACTACTCATTGCAATTAGACCCTTAAACAAGTTGCATGTATTCTGTATTAAAAAAATGTTTTATTAGTTTTAACCCTCTGAATTGTGCAAGGGTGTTTAGTTTAATGTAGTCTGAATTCGTTTTTTTACACAGGCATGCTGCAATACCCCCTGACTAATCACATGCCCAAAAGCAAGTGATTATCTTTATAATAAAGAAGTAATTGACATTCACAGCAACTTGGTTACCGAATCAAAGTCACATACAAAAGTACTCTCCACCACGCAAAAATGGCCCATGAATGGACAACCAGTGACAAAGTGAACACCTGTTTTGTCAAAATGATGTGCATGAATGGTTTCTGTAGAGGGATGCCGTCCTTATTGACTATTGAAAAGTAATGATTGTAACTTCTTTATTTCGTCCTGTGACATTGATCTCTGCGTAAAACTTAAGGCTCATTCTGTTACGTTCTGTGACTTTTGATCCAGTAACTAAAATGCTGTGCATATCAATTTCTTCTTTGTTATAAAGATAATCACTTGCTCTTGGGCATATGATTAGTGAGGGGTATTGCAGCATGCCTGTGTACAAAAATTGTTTATTTCTATGGAGTGAATTTTTATGTGCGGCCTTTGACAGAAGTGGCAAGTTTCTTTTGCTGTCCAGTGTATTTTTTTCGTGAAATGGTAGTGCTGACAATGAGTGAATTGTAGAAAACTAAGGATTTGTCTAGTTTATACATTACATGAGGGCATATTAGGGCCCGACAAACACCTAATTTAGCACTGCTGCAGACACAGAGAACAGACTGTTCACTGCGTGCATTATAGGTTTTGGTTGGCGAACGGTCCATTGTTGACGTGAGGAAGGAAGCTCCAGGTGAACAACTCTGTTTCTAAACTGGTAATTCTGAGTAATTCATAGGCAGTTATCTGACCTCAGCAGTTACAGTTATTATGGTACATGAAAGGTATCTGTAAAAAGCAAATTGAGAAAAATATACTTCACTCTTTGAAAATGTATACGTCTTTGCATAAGTAGACTTTTGTGTGAGGCAATTGCCGACTGTGATATCGACAATTATGTCAAGAAATTATTTGAAAGTGGGTTTGGCTGGAACGTCTTCACAAAGTGAATAAATGCGGCGAACCAAACTTTTTCACGTCTGTATACAGTTGGTCTAAGGAAAAACTGTACATAAATATGTGGTCAATATGAAGTCTAGCAACAGATGAGAATACACTGAATTGGTTTGAACAATTCATTTGTTCGGAAGTAAATTTTTGAATTGTTCAGGAAAGGCAATGTCAAATTTTTTTCTACTTTCTGCTCCCATGACTTCCGACGGATAACAGAGAATATTGAAATAATTGAGTAATAACTTTTTAAAACTTAGAAATGTTAGAAAACAAATATTGGAAATATAATGTGAACAAATTTCACAGCAAATTAGTGAGTTCGTATGCACCATCAACTTTTTCTTTCAAATACACGGACAAGGTTTCCAGACTGATGAAGGAATACCCTTCTCCGCTGGGAATATGACTCAAACAAAGATTGCGTCCTGCAAAGGGTGTGTACAACCCAACAGATACATGTAACATAAACAAACAACAGCCTCAGAGAACTGAAAAAGGAAACCATGCCCATTTGTAAACAGTAGTTTATATGTCTAATGTTTGGTATTTTATTCCAAAGTATTCTCTTTGCTCTGTAAAAAAATATATACAAACTACATTATATACATGTATTAAAATGAACATGGTGTGCATTTATGTTTAAAAAAAACAGTACTCCATTGTCAACAAGTAAATTACATGCACGTTTGTTCCACGACAAAACTCTTACATTTGACATTCAAACAAAATATGTATAAAGACTCAACACGTGCTACATAAAATTGCTTGCAACTTAGTGAGCCTTTGAAAAATACAACTAGTTCCGGTATTTCGAATATACAACAAATAAATAGTCACTTGTAACAAAACAAGTACACTAGTTGCAAAAGGCCTCAAAGGTCTTGTACATGTTACTTCCATGGGGTGTACTTCTTTTGAATGATGTTGTAAAAGCAAAATTTCACAGAGGCATGGAACATCCTGGTCTCTTTCAGACACCAATGGAAAGTGAGACTACATGTAATTGACTTGTGTGCACAAATGTACAAGTACATTGCTAACATGATAACACTACTGCCCCAAGTGAGCGTTTTGGGAAAACTCTTCAAAAGACACTGGTTGGAAAATGAATAGAAAATGTATACACTTAAGGGCAGCTGCATCTGACAGATGATATCTTTGGTTTAACAGTTTCCAAAGCTGCATTATAAAATACTATCCAAATACTGAAATAGTCTAGAATGTTAAGTTAATACTGAACCAAGTGGGGAAGTGCTTTTCTTACTATCAACACTCCAACATTTAACCTAATGTAATCTCCTACGTTAGGATAAGTGGACAACTTGCATTGACTGTCATATTTACCACTGCGGAAGATAAACCCTGGAGCAGTTTTTGTTATAAAGTCACCCCTCCATCACAGTCACTACCGATGAAGGATTCGTTAACCCTCATGAGACATACATACACCATACATGTAAATCTAAAAAACCTGGATGCACAACATTTCCTCTGACAGAGTACAAACTAGTGGACTGGCGGAAAACAATCTCACCAGGCTGTGAAGATTGACCATGGGATATATTGGCCAAGCAGTTAAGAGAGATCTTCTATATACTGCATTGCCATGCTCACAGCATGTACAGGAGGCGTTTTAGTGAGGGATTGATGACACAACCATCAAGTTTCCAATCCAGGGCAAGGAAATCTGCATCTTCCACTCGCTCCTTTGCTACCAGGCTCTCCTGATCAATGGTGTCTTCAGTTCTGCAGGAAAAGAAAAAATGACAAAATAGTTAAGGCTAAACCTCCAGTGAGTTTTGACTGGAAAAGTGTTACAAAAAAAAAGACTCATGAAACAAACACCAGTTGCGTTACATTGTTATGAAGGGTTTGCATGGCTGCCATCTTGCAGGCAAGTGCATTTGTTCCACATGCTATACACAGATGAGGTTTCCTAATGGAACAAAGAACTGCCCTGCAAGCTAGCTATGCAAAGCCTCTGTAGTCAAGTAATCTAAAAGTCCATGGGATCCCAGAAATCATCTTTGTGTCACAATCTTAAATGCATCCAATAAATTTGCCACTTGACTTTANTGATGTTTACCGAGGAAGGCCAGTTCATCCGGCAGTTCCTTCCAGGAAGAGCGGAGTCCAACAGGACCTCAACGTGCCTGGCAGTGGATGACAAGAATCTGATAGCAGTCGGCTTTGTAGACAATGATGAGATAGCCCTGCACAATGTAGATGGGACCCTTATCAAGATGCTGTCTGCTCCGCTGATTGGTCAATATCTGATTGCCAGCAAGCAGAAGTTTGTCTACACCAACCGCACAAGAAAGAAACTTGTATCAGTGGACTACAACGGTAATGTGGTATTCTCTTTGGATATGCAGCTCCCAAAGAAACGCGAATACATGTATGCATGCCCCACTGGAATCTGTTCAGGTGCAGATGGTAGCTTGTATGTGGCCATCCAGGGATCTGGGTGGGGCAGCATTTACAATATCCATCCCGGGACTAGTGACCAGTTGAGATGTGTAATCACTGATTGTGGTAGTCCAATACATTGCATCACATGTAATCCAGACGGTAATGAGTTGGCAGTGGCCACAGGACGGGCTGCTCACATTTATCGACGTGAGCCTTCAACAATTAAGAAACGAAGGTAACTTCACATTCCATTTCAAAAGAGTGGGAGGGTACGTGCTTAGAACCTTTGCCAGGTTAATCAGGTCAATGCTGGAACTGTGGATCCTTTATCTTGCCAACATTGCTAATAAACGTAAAAACTGCCAGCGTTCCACAAACTATACTAATACGTATCTGAAGAGAAATTGTTCATCTTCACTACAAATATCATACCAACACGGTTTGACATATCTACATGGGAATGTGTTAAGCGTATTGAGAAATGAAGTTTTTAAACCTTTCAAACTATCCATCCTGTCTTGGTAACTCGTCACCGTCGTGATGAAGTGACGTATCTGCCCACACATTTGTAAAGCTATATGTTTCGAAAAAAGCGCACTTCAAGTTTGTCTCTTTGTTTTTCAAATCGCGTTTTCATATCCCTTTACCGGAACATCACTTCGACAAAACGTTTCCGCATGAGTCATGTGAGTATGTTTCTCAAACTTTTTGTGTTTGTGTAGAGGGCATCATAAACGGTCGGTTATCCACAAATCACAAACTGTCTAAAAGCTCTGGTTTCGGCAGATTCGCACTTCACCAAAAACGACGATGACTTGTGTGGGCTCTTACTGTGATGTAAATCAGGCCAGACACTTTTCAGTTTTACAGTACAAATTGTGAACCCTTAGGTTGCTCATTAAAACATCTCTGAGAAAGGGTGGCTCGTTGGCATATTGCCACAAATTTACACAACAACGATTTGACAAAGAAGGGAAATGTTGAATAGCAGCCTGTCGAAGATGGGAGCAAATTTGGTGCACAAATCAACGCCACATTGAGGCTTTCGCCCTTGGATATCATCGCAGCTTTTCTCTTGAGTATGGGCATTCGTGTTTACATAAAACCAAAAAGGCATCAAAATATCTTCAAAACAGAATTGGAAACAGGAGGGTAACTGAAACAACAGGTGCATTTTCAAAGACTGTAGTAATAAAACTTGCATTGCAATTAGACCCTTAAACAAGTTACTTGTATTCTGTATTAAAAATTGTTTTCTTAGTTTTAACCCTCTGAATTGCGCAAGGGTGTTTAGTTTAATGTAGTCTGAATTCGTTTTTTTCAAGATCCGCGGTTTTGCTCGTTTCTTTTAAAGAGGGTCTTGAAAGTCATTTCAATTTGAAGTTTGAATACTTTTAAGCAATCACACAAAGTTTAAGATACCTCTAACTTGAAATCAATGTTCCTTTTTAAGAGAGATGTGAAAGTTAAACAAGCATGATTTCTCTTTAGTCAAGGAATTTTTTCATTAGGGCCCGATTAGGAGATGTTTACCCTTTATATTTCTTTAGAAATTCTTTGACTAAAAAGGAGCTTAGGAATTGGGAATACAGACTTCTCCGACTGAGGAGAACTTGGGAGCACAGGGCACATGTATTATAAATATTTAAACAATGGGGAATTTGGAACAAATTTTGAAACTTTATTTTAAAATGAATTTTTTAGAGACGTCCAGAAAGAGGGACCTCAATTGGGGTTGTAAAAGACAAGGTTTTAAATCCCCGGGTCTTACATATCTAGCATTAAATTGTGCATCATGTAAATGTGTCTCCCAAATATACTGGACAGTAAAAGAAACTTGCCACTTCTGTCAAAGGCCACACGTAAAATTCACTCCATAGAAATGAACAATTTTTGTACACAGGCATGCTGCAATACCCCCTGACTAATGGAGTTAGAAGTTTTCCATTTCCTATACTCACACATAATCGCTGTAGTGTAACCGTTCCAGAAGAGAACAGATGGCACAGAAGAGTTTGGGACCAAACTGGGTGAAATTGTCTGCTTCAAGCAGTTGAAGTGCATCTTGGATCTGATCTGTGTTAACAGTATCCACCAGAGCCTCCAAGACAGCAATGTTGAACTCCTGAAATGAAGAGAATGGGCAACGTTTACGTTTATGTGCCCAACCATTCAACGGAATACTGAAAGAAAGTATTAACTTTTGAGAAGTACAAGCTCCAACTATGCTGAGCTTGAAGTCAGAACTGCTTATTTAATAATTTGAAGGATTTTGAATTTGAAGGAAGATGCTGTTTTGTTTTACAAAGAACATGTACATGTACCTGTGAATGGACAAAATGCCAGACCTGTCATGAAATAAGAAATAACACGTATTCAAACATCTCCTAAAATTCTGGCTTGTATTAAACCTGTTTCTGCAAAGTACCGTAGAAATTTGTGATTTGTGATTGTGATTGGTAAAGTTTTAAGCTCAACAGCTGCACTACGTCATCCATAAGATTTTCATGTTCACAACCAAAGTCTTCATGTCAAATGCAAATATCAATCATTTTTTACCTCCCCTATCCTTCAATACAAATGTGTGTATGATACACACATGTAGATAAATCACAGGTACCTAAAATTTTCTTTCAATGGCCGAACTTAACCCTGAAAGGATTTGTACATAACAGGCTCCACCTACACAGGACTGAACTTTTCACATGATCAAAGCACATTGTTACAAAGGCTGAATTTTCCATCTATTTCCTGGTTCAAACTATTCACTCACACAAACAAGACTGGATCCATTTAAAAACAGCGGAACGAGCAGGGCCATGGCCCCCTCTGTCCCTTTGTAGTTCTGTATTTCAATAAACCTCCATCCGCAACTACAGACACACCGTCAGCTACAACCACAGTGTATCAATTCATTACCCCACCACAGGTACCTGTTTCACTGCTAACGTTTCCTGATAAAGGACTGGATAGTTACTTGTTTGAACTGCACATTTTCTACAGAAATTCAGGTATGAAAGAAAGGGACTTCAAGACTAGGACTTCAGGACGAACATTTTTAGGTTTCATTTAGTACATGTTGAGAAACTATTCGGACTCTGTTCAGACACTTA